GCTCTGTTGTTTTATTTACATATGAAGAAACAAGATACAAATATGACAAAATTCCCTCTGTGCATCACCACTGCTGATGTACAAGAAGCAACAAATCACAACATGTTTCCTGTTGGATATCAACAAGATGAAACAACACCTGGGATGCAAGCAGGCACACTGTCTGAAGAAAGCTCAACAATTAGTGAAAAGATAGACATTAATGCTTTTATATTAGCATGGGCAAATTGAACAACTGATGCACTACAACAAGAAAAATTCGTGGAGTCAAAATCACAAAGTGCAACAACAGTGATGCAGAACCTGAAGAAGGGCCGGTATACAACAACCATGTTGAGTTCAAGAAAGCACTGAAGTTGTATGCTATAAAAAAATCACTTCCAGTACGTGACATATAAGTCAAATAAGAAGTTTTTTGTAACAAAATGCTTGAATGACAAGTGCGGTTGGGATATAAAAGCAAGACAAAGTGGAACACTAGGAAGGTTTATAGTTGTGAAGTTTTTAAAAACGCATTCTTGCATATTGGAAGTAAGATTAACAGCATATCAAAGGCATGCAATATCAAGTTTGGTAGCATAATGCATTCGGTCTAAGTTATTGGATCCAAAGGCGTAATATAATGCAACTGATGTATAGAGAGACATGTTACAAGAGTATGGTGTTGAAATCAGCTACTTAAAAGCATGGAGAGCAAAAGAAAGGCATTGAATAAGCTCAGAGGAAAACCAGAAGAGTCATATGACCTTCTGCCACAGTTCTTGCGTATTGTGAAACAAACAAATCCTGGATTGTTTCTGGAACTTAAAGTTAATGAAGACAACACTTTCTTGTATGTATTCGATCATGGCTATCGATGCATCAATTAAGGGTTGGCTATTGAACTCAATTATTACTGTTGAAACTCAATTCAATATAAACGTGCATAACACTGCTACTGTCCATTCTATATAAGTTGCTCTTTATATTACGTGAGGAAAAGTACCATTAAAGCATTAAATACGAAAGTAGAAACAATAAGAAACAACAATAAAAATGTCAAGAAACAACTGCTAATTTTGATAAACAAAAAGCAACGATAAAAAACAATGGAAGAAAGAACAAAACCAGACACAAACACAGCACGCAAAAAAGTGTAGGAGCACGAAGGTAATAAAGTAATTACTCAAGAAAGACAAAGAAAAAGCAAGGAAATAAACACAGGCTATAGAAATGAAAAAGGAAACAAATACGGAGTATAAACAACGAAACTCACTAGCAGAACGCAATTGTTAGGTCCCCTATATTTTGATGATAATGTAATAGTTTTGATAATGCCACCCCTTTTTATCATCCATGTATTAGACTAGTCTACTAGCTATGTTCTACTTTGTTTATTTGTAATGTGCTCCATATTTAGTGGTAAAGTACTCATAAAAAGCAAAGAATACTAAAAAGAGAAGTGTTGAGGTTAAGTCTCGTAGATTCGGAAGCCCAACACACGCTTTGGATATTAAGGACGTTTGTCTTGGTTAAAAGGTGTATAAAATATAAAACAATGAATTAAGGCTGAACTCAGAAGCTAACTTGTATTACGTAATTCTGCGATTACACTGAAATTGCCCGAACGATAAGTCGGTATGAGTTTAAATACAAGAACAAGAAAGATGATTCTATTGCTAAGCTCCGAGTCTAAAAATGTTAACCCTTTACAATGTATTCAATGCAGGTATTTATACTAAGAGGGGGTAGGTGAGATGATGACGTGGCTGAACCCGATTGGCTGCTGCCTCTGCCGCCTTGCACCCATGCCTCTACTTGCTATTGCCATATTTCAACATAAATGCGTCTCCCACTTACTGACTACCTGGACGGGTAGTGCATTCGGTGTGCAGGATCCCTTTGTGGGTGTTTGGATGTCAGTACTTTGTTAATTATCTCAAGTGAATAAATCGACCCGAATGTTGTTCAGGTACTACCCCGTTTGGGACGTCTGGGGCCTTTCTGATTGCGTTGGGCTTCTTGTTAGCCCTGGACCTTCTTTATGCTTTGGGCCGGGTGTATTGGGCTTGGACTCAATACCCCAACACGAGTCCTCCACTTCCAATGTCTCGAACAGTAGTGAGTACATAAGGGAGTAGAAGAATTCTGCCCGAACGCTGCTCGGGTATGTAGCGGACGAGATTTCGCCAGTTCCCGAGGCATAATCTTGACGGTTTTTTGCGGCTGCCATTTCAATTTCCCGATAACCGTCATGATTACTTATTGATGTTTCTCCGCGTGACACGTGTCCCTGTAATCATTCTTAGCGACGTGCCCTCCCCTGATTGGTTGACAAACCGACATGTCAGGTTATAAATAAGGCATTCATGCCTTGGTTATGGGTTTCCAAAATTTTACATTCTTCGTGGCGCAGCTCTGCCTTCTCTCTAGAGCTTAGTTCTTGGTAGTGTTCAGGTAACCTTCGCTCCTTGACTTTTTCTCCCTTCTTGTTTGGTAAATACGTCGCGTCAACCATCCCCCTCCCATCATTCTGTTCATGAGGTGATCCTCATGAGGAGGTCCAAGATGACACTGTAGAGGATGTGGAAAACTCCGGCCATGCTTCCGGCGACGCCTCCTCCTATAGTACTTATTTGGATGGTACTAAGTCTGGAGATGAGCTTGATTCTATGGAGGCTGGCCCTCCAGGCGATGTTCCTCGTCACAAGCTTGATCTAACCCTAATCCGGCTGCGGCGGCAGAAGCTCACAAGCCCAAACAGGGCTCTAATCCTAACTTTGATTCCTAACCCGATGGACTTCCGCCTTCAAGTTGGGCTTCACCCAATGTGTCATTTCCCCGGGATGGTGGTAGTCCATTAGGACTCGATGAAACCCGGGCTTAGATTTCCGCTCCACCCTTTTTCGTTTCTTTATTGAATTTTTACGAAGTGGTGCCGGCCCAAATTATGCCGAACTCCTATCGGGCAGTGGCTGGTTTCATATGTCGCTGCGTGGATGTCAAGGTGACGCCCACCTTAGATTTGTTCCACTATTTGTTCTCGGTGATTCCCCAGCAGGCCCACGGGTATTTAGTTGTTAGTGCCCGATCGGGCCATATTCTATATATTCTCCGATGCCCCCTCCTCAATCAATGGATGGAAAGATCGGTTCTTCTTCGTCTCTGTCCCGGACGGTTTGATTCCGAGGAAATGGAATGCCTTCCCGCCAAAGTCTTCTGAGCCGTTCATCTCCGAGAAACTCGGCAAAGACGTCATTGCTGTGGAGGCCGGTGATTGCTACAAAATCAAGGCCTACCTGACCCCCGATCATCTTATAAAGGCCAGGATAGGTACTGCCCGTATTCCTGGATTTACTTGATTGAACCCAAGTGCCATGGCCCGGGCGGTCCTTCCCATGCGAGAAATGCTTTGTTTTGTTTCACACACGCTGAAGCCGCTCAGTACTAACATTTTCCTTTGTTATTTTCAGCTCTTGATCCAGACGCAAGCCCGGACCCCGAAGGAGCCAACCACCCTCAAGAAGTCATGGATGGCAGTAGGCTATTTTCTGTGGGCGGTGGCGATGATGGGGCACAAGAGAGGCGTGATAATGAACAGAGGAAGAAGCGGAAGAGGTCAAAGAAGACCGTTCAGGCAGGATCTTCTGAGGCCGTTTCGTAGGGTATGGAACAATCCCAGCCTGTTCAGGATGTCCCATCTCAGTCCGTTCAGGACGTTCAACCCATCCATCAAATCGCCTCTGAACAGCCTAGCATGGCTGACATGCTCATGGACAACCTGTTCGGTCCCGAGCAGTCACAGGAGTTCCTCGGGCACTTTAGCTCTGTTCCGGGTTCCAGTGCAGAAGCCCACCAGGCTGACTTGGTGGGGCGGATCGAGCGGATTTCTTTGGAAGATCCCGCTCATGGAATTCTGGAGCGCAGTGGAGCGACGGCGTCCCAGATTTGGTCCACTGCTGCTTTCTTTAATGGCCTACCGCTCCCTCAGCTTCCAGTTGAGCAGACGGAGGAGTGCCTTGCCCTGACTGCCCTCAGATCTGCGAATTCCGAACAGAAGAAAGTCAAATTTGCATAGTAAAAGCCTCAGATCTGCGGATTCCGGGCAAAAGAAAGGAGAAGAAGATAACATAGCAGGCGAGCGATGGATGATGTCTGCGGTGCTCCGAGCTTCTCGTCGCTGGCGGAGCTCCTCTCAGCCGGTGGTTCGCTGTGTGTTCGACAATGGAGGAGCGATGGAGATCGATTGATCCTTGTTGTGAGCTCGACGATGGAGGCGATGGAGGGCGATGGAGACTGATCGATCCTTCTTCCCAGCCGCGTTCGATGTTTTAATGGGAAGAGAAGCCGTCGTCCCTGGTTCGTGCGCAAGAGAAAAGAAAGAGCGGAAGTTTGAAGGCGGGTCACTTTTTGGTCAAAACATAATTCACTCATATTTTTGCCTAATAAAAGGTGTGGGGTTATATTTGTGCCATTCTTTCTAAAAGGTATATTCAGGTTTGATATGTATTGAGTTAATAAGTCATCAATTGATTCATCTTCTGTAAAATCCTAATTCTGTTTTTAAAAGGAGTTTACTAATGGAATAAAATCGCGATTTACTTACTTCCTATTATAAGTAGTATAAAGAAAGTCGCCCATAAAAAAATCAAATATTGTGTTAGGTTGTTACAACTACATACATTAAGAGCCCGTTTGTTATCACGAAAATTGGCTGATTTGGCTGTTTCTGCTGAAATTTTTGAAGTTCTGGCTGAAGTGGCTGCATTGGCTGATTCTGCTGATTTAAGAAAAAATTATTTTCAAAATATATTTTATTAATAAAATAAAGAAAAAATTATATGTAAAAATAGCTAAAATGGTCATCTACAGTAACTTCAGCCAGAAAAGTAACTCCAACCTTACTTTTTCTGCTTATTACACAATTCAGCGCACGAAAGCAAAAGTTACGTGTTTGGTGAAAAAGTTGTCTGATAAGCCTGATAAGTCGAAAAAAGTGGTTCCAAAATGCCTCTAACTTTGTAAGAATGAACTCATCATTATAAAGTTAACTCCCTCCTTTAATGGAGCTGTGTCATCACCATGGCCTCCACATATGGAGGGTGAATTGCTATTTGTGAATTGCAAGTTATTACAGTTTCAATGAAGGGAGCAATGTGAGATTCCCCTTGTCGGTGCTTCTCCACTTTCCAGCTTACATAATTGTCCCAATCACCCATTTATTTGTCCGCACTTTTCGCCTTCTTCTTCTCCTCTTCCTCACCTCACTATCTTTTTCTACTCTTTTTTTGTTAATTCCAGACACTGAGTGAACTCGGCCGACCCTAAAAATGCTTTCCCATTCTTCCTCGGATCTTCAAACCATCCAAAAGCCCAAATCATTCAACTTCCTCACTTCCTTCCATTCCCAAATCTCAGCAAACCCTCGTTTCTGGCTCTTCTCCACCTTCCTCTTCGTCCAAGTAATCGTCGTCTTCTTCAGCCGGAACTCGCCCCTCTCTTTAACCTGTCATCCTCATGCCCAGCCCCATTTCCCCACCGAGGCCGTCTCGATACCGACCGTCGCACATGGCGGAGACGCCGTTTCTCAGCCGCCGGAAGGTGAGGACTGCGAGTACGGTAGGGTTTACGTCTACGACCTGCCGCCCATGTTCAACAAGGATTTGATTTTGAAGAACTGTACGGATTTGGATCCGTGGAATTGGCAGTGTGGGCTGAACATCAACGCCGGATACGGGAAGAGGACGAGGGATTTAGCCCGGATCTTGCCGATGAATGTCGCGACGGCGTGGTATCAGACGAATCAGTTCTCGTCCGAGGTGATTTATCACCACCGGCTCCTGAACTACCGGTGTAGGACGATGGAGCCGGAATCGGCCACGTCGTTCTACATTCCTTTCTACGCTGGACTCGCGGTTGGGAAGTACTTGTGGATCGATGATACCGAAAAGCGCGATTGGCATTGCAATATGATGCTCAAGTGGGTCCAGAATCAAACCTACTGGCAGAAATCCAAAGGATCAGATCATTTCCTCACGATTGGACGAATCACTTGGGACTTCCGCCGTTTAGCGGATGCCGGGAAGAAATGGGGATCCGCCCTCCTCAACCTGCCGGAGATGGAGAACGTCACGCGCTTCACGATCGAGAAGGCGCCGTGGGACATCTACGACGTTGGCGTGCCTTACCCCACCGGATTCCACCCCAGTACAGACTCCCAGCTCCGCCTATGGCAGCAGTACATTCTCTCACGCAACCGCACAAGTATGTTCTCCTTCGTCGGAGCCACACGGGCCGAAGTAAAGGAGGACTTCAGAAACCTCCTCATCCACTACTGCCGTAACGAGTCTGACGTCACCCGAGTCGTTGATTGCTCGGTGACTCAGTGCTCCGTCAATCCTTCCATTATCCAGGACGCCTTCCTGAGCTCGGATTTTTGCTTGCAACCTGCAGGGGACAGCAAGACGCGACGGTCGGTGTTCGACTGTATGATCGCGGGTTCAGTTCCAGTGTTCTTCTGGCAGGAGACTGCTTACGAGCAGTACCAGTGGTTCTTACCAGAGGATCCAGAGAGTTACTCTGTGTTCATAGACCGCAATGGGGTGAAGAATGGGACAGTGTCCATTAGAGGAATCCTGGAGAAGTATAGCAAAGAGAAGATCAGGAAAATGAGGGAGAAAGTGGTGGAGACTATGCCCAAATTGATCTATGCAAGGCCAAAAACCGGACTGAAGCATGTGAAGGATGCTTTTGATGTGGCTGTTGAAGGAGTAATGAAAAAAATTAAGGAGGACAAAGAATGGAATGAGTTCGTTGATGAGATTGAAACATGAAGATGAAGATTCCTGATTAAGGCTCTGTTTGGTGGCCTTGTTTTTGTTTTCATAAAATTCCGCATATTTAATTGGTTTAGTCAATTACCCTCTAAGTCAGGAGCTCCAATCTTGAATGGGAAGAGTGAGTGATGTATATATTGTACTACTACTTGGTGCAATTTTTCTCATGCATTTGTTTGTCATATTTTTCAATATGATCACATGAGCCATGCTATCTTTCTACACTTGAGTTATGTACTAGTTCTACTTTTTGGTCACACAGACGTAAACAATTGGGGCTGTAGTCTTGGTTTTATAGTTTTACACATTGGTTTGCAAAGAACATTGGTCTTTTAACACACTATCCACCTGACAGATAATTTACATTCTTTTGCATATTTGTAACCTCCTATGTTTGATGTTTCATTTCATGATATATATACTTAAAGAGGAGTAACAAAATATTTAGACTGAGAAAATGAATCTTAACATTTGTGTCAAAATTTGGGAGATTATATATGTTGTTCTAATCATTTTTGTTTTACAGATTGAATCTCAATTGCATAGATTAATATGTGTGCAAGTTACTGAGTTCTTATTGTATACGTAGTACAAAATAGTGGGACAAATGGAGTATGTAACTATATACTAACAAAGTGAATCTTAATTCTTGTGTCAAAAGGTGATTGTCTTAAGCATGCTCGACCTCCCATTTTGGATAGCTATTCAAAACTAAATTGTGAGTGGAACTTAAAAACAAAAAATTATCATTAGCAATAGCGAACTCATCAATGATCTCAAGTAGTGTTGGACCCGGGCCGGGTCGGGCCTGGGCCGGGTCAAGGCCCGGTCGGGCCTCGGGTCTTATAATGGTAGGCCCGGGACCGGCCCGGTCAATGACCGGTTCCGGTTCGGGCTGGGCCACCCGCCCGGGTCACGGGTCGGGCCACCCGCCGGGCCGGGCCGGGCCAGTATATATATTTTTTAAATTAATTATATATTATACAAATTGCTATTAAAAACAAAGTTCAAGTGCATTTATTTGAAATAAGAACTACATTTGAGAATTGAGAAAAAAATAACAATACGAAATACATTTTGTAATGAATATCAATTGGGATTTCCGCCACCGTTGGTTGTTGTTTTCCCTTTGTCACAGGACTTCTTATGTTTTATTGGCATCCCGTATCCGTATGAACGCCCCAAGCAACACTCTTTCTTGCACCACCTGCAAGTTGCCCACCACAGTCCGGTCTTCGGGTCCTTCCACTTGTCAAAATTGTTTTGCATAAGGGAAGATGTACTTTCCATATTTAAAATGGTATATGTATAAGTAGGAATGTAGGATAATAAGAGAAGATGAAGATGGAGAAGAGTTTGAGAAGAATTGGAGAAGAGGTGTAGAAAAATGTTAGAAAATAGATGTATTTATAGATGTTTTTGAACCCCACTCCCCACACCACCACCCCCGGGACCCCCCTGCCCCCCACCCATAGCCCCAACGGCTATATAGCCGTTTGGGAGGTTTGATTTAATTTTTTTTTTAAGTTATACACATATTGTAAAATAAATTAATTAATTTAATGAATTAAGTAAAACTAAAACTATTTGTACTTAGAAAAGTGGTTTGATTTATAATTTACAAATGTTACAAAATAGGTGTATAAGTATTTAAACAAATTACATATTGTAAATGTATTTTTAATTTAAAAACCGGCTTTATATTTTAGAAAAATAATTTTAGGTCGTTAGATTGTAATCAATTAATTAATTTGAGAAGTGCTACATATGAAAGGATTTTTTTTTAAACTGACCGTTAGGCCCGGGCCCGACCCGGCCGGGCCGGGCCTCCAAAAACAGGACCCGAGCCCGGACCCGCTACCCCAACCGGTTCGGTGCCCCAACCGGACCCGGACCCGAGAACCGGGCCGGTTCCGGGCCCGTACAGTGACGGGCCGGGCCGGTCCCGGGCCGGGCGGCCCGAACCGGGTCCAAGACTAATCTCAAGAGCTCAAGATCTAATTTAAAAAGAGGGAAAGCTAGAGAGAAAAGTAATATAACACAGAGCACTATATTAAGAGGCAGTTTGGTAACGCTGTTTTTTAAGCTTATTAATAAAATATAGGGAAAATGGAAACTAATAATCCAACCTTTTAGCGGTCTTCTTTCAATAATCCCACCTTTTGATTATTCATGAATAATCCAACCTTTGCACCTCATCTTCATTCATTGGTCTCTGGTCGGTTAATGACCTACTATTCCAAGTTATTTTCTTATCTTTGCAAAATATTATCTTTGTGAAAGATGAGATTTATGGTATAATGATTTGCAAAGATAAGAAAATAGCTTGGAATAACAGGTCATCAACCGGTCAGGGACCAGTGAATGAAGATGAGGTGCAAAGGTTGGATTATTCATGAATAACCAAAAGGTTGGATTATTGTAAGAAGACCGCTAAAAGGTTGGATTATTAGTTTCCATTTTCCCTAAAATATATTTTAAAGATATTTTTTCTTAAATCAGCGGAATCACCCTATGCAGCCACTTCAGCCAAAGATGGGTCTCCATATTTCTTCTCTTGTTCAGTTGCACTGTGATAATGTATCTGCATCCTATTTAGCATGATCACAACAAACACATCAAGATTGATTATCATTTTGTTAGTGAACGTGTTGCTCATGGAGACCTTGTTGTCAAAATATGTTCCTACTCAGTTACAGTTAGCTGATATTTTTACTAAGAATCTATCTAGTCAGCGTTTTGAATTTTTACTTTCCAATCTACGCGTGGTTTCCCCTGCACAGATTGAGGGGGTGTAATAGATAGAAATATCATGACATATTTGTAATTATCTTATTTTATCTGTTAGTATAAATATACCATCAGGGCACCCTATTGGGGTATGCCATTATTCCATAATATTGCATATTAATTTCTCACAAGACTAGTTTTTCCAATCTTCTCGAAATATTGAATTAAATAACAATTGCCGCATGTATTGCTAAAGGGAAAAATAATTAAAATACCCCAAACTTTGAAGGAGTGTGAGATAAGTACCCCAAACTTGCATATGTAATTTAAGTACTCTAAATTTTATATAAAAAGTTATTTTAGCATCATGGTCATATATTGTTTCTTTAAAAAATGTTAGTTTTTGGTGTTGATTTCATAAATTAAAATATTTTAGTATTCATGAAGATACAATTAACATTCTAAAGTTCCATTATAAAATAAATAATACTACCTCCACTCTATATAATTGCATCATTTTTAATTTGCTATTTTATATTATGCAAACAACAACATAAATTTACATTTTTTAAAGAAATAATATATGGTCATGGTACCAAAATAACTTTTATATAAATTTTGAGGTATTTAAACTACATATGAAAGTTTGGGGTGTGTATCTCTCACTTCTTCAAAGTTTGGGGTATTTTAATTATTTTCCTCGCGTATAAAGACATGTTTTTTTAGAATTAAAGACGTGCATGTTATTAGGTTGAGATGATCGATGGGTTTACTAATTTAAGTCGGTAGTTTGTTGTTCTTTCCTTTTTTGGTTCTTTTTTATTTTCGATTAACCAATTACTGGTTAATCAAAATTTTGGTTAACCGAATATCGGTTAATCAGTGCTACGGTATGGATAATTATATTGAATGTATATTTACCGAAATCTCGGTTAACCGATTCTTGGTTAACCAAATTGCGGTTAATCACGTGTGCCCACTCCTATTAAGGCCTTTTAGAACATTGTATATAAGTAGTAGAGTATTATACTACAATGCATCCCATTTAATTTGATATCTATTGTTTTACTAGTTTTCGCAACGCGCGATGCGCGATGGAGATTGTGCCCAATGTGTTTTCATAATAGTGGTAATGGCGAATGTGTAAGAAGGGGTGTTTGGGATATATGCTAGGGGAAAATGATCATGTTTGTGTGGTAGTGTGTGTACAACATGTATTCCCTTTTGAAATAACATTGAAATAGAACTCCCAAATAGAGTAATGAAAATTTCATGATTGCATTATTAGGGTGCAATTTATTAAAATGAGAAGAAATAGCGATAATATTGTATCATGGAAACAAGCTTAGTAGTGTATCATGGGAAAATATGTTTATGGTTGCAGGAGAGATAACATTCAAAAATCAAAATGGAACATAGTTCTGCAAAAATGAAAGTATTTGAATGTAATAACACATTTTGGTGAGTCGTGGAATGGTTTGGATGGTTGTGTATTTTCCGTCACACTGTTTTGATGCGTTTCATTGGAGGACTTGAAGTGCTTGTGCTTTCATTGGGTGCAGTGTGATCGGCAACATTTGCTTCATCCATCTTTATTATGTGCAACGAAGACTCGTGCAAAGATGTTATGATATAAGATGTCTTTGAAGTACGAGGATAGTTGTTTTTTGAACTCCAATTGTCTGGTGAAGACCTCAACTGGACTATGTACTCTTCCTTAGCAAGGCGCTTGTTTATGTATGGGAATGAAGCTTTTTTCCCCTACCAAGTACAAAAGAATTTCAATGAGTGGTTTCATATAGAATTTAAACCTAGTAGAAAATTAGACTTTGACAAATGACAATGTGTATATTATTTATATTTCTACAGGACCCAAATTCCATAAGAGATTATGCTTCATTTGATGATTTTGTAAAAAAATCTATGGTATAGAGTTGGCGAATAATCTTTTGGGTGACATTTTTAATTAATTTTACAAAGTAGTTAATGTTTTTGGCAATAGGAAACAAATGCAAAAAACAAATTCAAAAAACAAGCATATTTGGTTTCATTAAACGATAATTTAATTGGGCGGTATTGTGGATGGTGTTACCTGTGATTCTATTTCCATGACTTGCTTGCTTGTCATAAGCAATAACTTTTCAGCGCACAAGCCAAACATTATTCCACTGACAGATCCTGTCTCATCTTCGATTGTGACATGTAATTTGGCCCTGCGCGAAGGTTGTAATATGATTTTTTGAGGAAAATGACGTATACTTATGTTGTATGGTGTAATACAAGTGGCGTACTTGCCTTGGAACGCCATAAGCATTTTCTTGACCGCAACTCATGCAGTGAAATATTGCATCACAACCAGCGTATTTTATTTTGGCACAATGGCTACAAGCAATATACCAGAGGCTATAGTTTTCTAAGACCAAAGTGATTGTGCCTTTGATCCAAATAGGCCTTCCCTGTTATTGTTTATAGATTACACAAATTACAATGGATAAGGCACAGTAATGTAATGGATTTGAAGTAATTTATAGCATGGGTTACATAAATTTTTGGGTGATTTATTGCATACGTCGTCAATGTTTTTTACGTTGTCAATGGTTATTAGG